TTAACTAAAAAATAAATCAGTTCAAGTGTTATATGTGATCCACTGCTGCTTACTCAACATGTTGTGCAACAGACAGCCCCTGTGCGTGCAGTTGCAAATGGCTAAAAACAACTTGTAAAAACTGTGATTTAAAATAGCTTAGCTCAGTTTTGCCTTTCATCTTTCCTTTATTCTTAAAACTTCTTCTGCTACCACCAAATTTTACTTAAACTAGCCACTGACAGTTTCCTTCATCTCCCATTCCCCTATCCTTTAAAAAAAGTTAATAAAATGATGTGCTATACTTATTCATGACATAGTCAGTGTGGTTTGAAAGTATTGTAATGGTGAAACACATATATAGTATTTGATTTATCATTTCAGCAAACAGTAAATGTTAACCACGTTCTGTTTAACAAAACGCCCCTGAGAAAGGCTGGTTACTAAGGAAGTGGGGAACGTTTAGTGCAGAGTAGAGTTGGTTCAGAGACATGAATGGATCTGTTTCTTTTCAGGGGTCAAAGAGTGACGACTATCTCTTAAAATGTTATTTGTCCTGAAGGCATAAGTCTAAAACATAAACCCATGTGCTTTCCTTGAGAAGGTAATAAACCTCCATCTCACAAAGAGTCTATGAATAAAGTCAAGGCTGGGTTTGCTCTAGGGATGAATGCTATGAATCCCTTGTTAATAGTTCCTTTTAAACCAAAGGTTTGGCTGAAGGAAAAGGCCAGACTGCTAAGCAGAAACAAAGAAACACTCTGCTATACTGTAAGTTTACAAAGAATGCTTTCTCAGTTTTATCGTTTAAAGCTCCCTTCATCCAGGTGGAACTTGGGTTTATTTTTGTGTTTAGTTAATTTCTTTTTAATTCAATCAACGGAAACGAAGCTTTGCATTGTTGAAGTTATTACATGAGATGCAAGGGCAAAATGCTCTTATTTAAAGCTTCACAACCGATTCCTCCACAACACGTGAGCAAGGCTGATCTTAATGCTGTAGATAATAAAATACATTGTGGACTGTTTCACTTTAGCGAGTACAGACAGATTAAACAAGCTTTCAGCAGAGAGTTTTTATTCTCATTCTTTGTCAGCTGCYCTTGTAAATGCAGATCCACAACATTCTCAACAGTGATTAAATGCATTTTAAAAAAGTGGAAATAATCAATGTTTTAGTTTATTTTGACCCAAGAGCAAAACACTGAATGCACATTTAGATGAGGACATTAATAGTTGGCAGCTCAGTGGCAGTGTCCTCAATGGTTGAATAGTAGAGTACAAACAGGAAAATAATTTGTCATGACAATAAATAGAAGGGGCTATTTTGAACATATAGTAAAAAGATGTATTAGTTCTGTGTGTTTTTTGAACGTTATTTGAATTTACAGTTGAAACTGAGTGACTAGTTGTGACTGGACCTATATTTGTTTCATTTCACATTAAGACTTTATCATCAAAGTTTGAGCAGGATTTAAATGTTTACTTCCAATACTTAATCCAATGACTTCCAGTTTTTATATCTGTTTGTGTGTGCTGGTAAATAATGTACAAAATACTTTGAATATTCTTTTCAAATTGAGATTTTTTTTTACTTCCCTAAAACAACATTTTTAAAAAGGAAAAATTCTGCTAAATCTGTYTGAACTGAACAGATTTTTTTCTGAAACAATGCTGTTGTAGCCTATTAGGCACATGCCTGCTATCACTTTGTGCTTTAGACACACAAACAAATATGGAGCATTGTTTGGGGTGTCTTTCCCACGTTATCCTGATCATCTTTGTTTTCATCTTCAACCACTTACAGTAGTCAGGTTGTGTGGGCAGGTTCAGGAGAGAAACTTTGGGTTACTGGTACTTAACATAACCCCAGTTCTTTGATAAGATGAGGTGTTTCACTATGGGAAGCGCTCCTGCGTGACCATCTATGGAAGCTCCAATGCCATTACGTCTGTCTGAGACAGACAGGTTGAGTCGTGCTCAGGGCTCCGCCCCCCTATAATACCACGGTCAACCGACCCCTCCCAACTCATTCTGGAACGGTTTCTTTCCGTGTCCATGCAAGAAGGGAAGTGCTGTTGAAACATCTTAATCAGAAGCCAAACTACTTCAACTGATTCCTTTTGATACAGAGGAGCAGTGGCTCTATTTCAAGCTCCCCCAGAATGATGGCGCTCCTCATCCTATCTCTAAGGCTGAGCCRGACCACCTTATGAAGGAAGTTCATTTCAGCTGATTGTATCCGAAAAAAGACCAGTATATCAAGAGCTTTGCCTTTCAACTCAGCTCTTTCTTCACCACAACTGACAGAAACAACACCCTCATTACTGAGGACGAGGCCCCAATACGTTGATCCATCTCCTGTTCCATCCGACCATCACTCATGAACAAGACACTCAGATACTTCCACTTGAGGCAGAGACTCCCTCTCGACCCGAAAGGGCCATCCCACCCTTTTCTGGTTGAGAACCATGGACTCAGACCTAGAAGAACTCATCCCAGCCACCTCACACTCAGCTACCAACTGCCCCAGTGCACGCTGTAGGTCTTGACACAAGGACACCAAGAGAACCACATCATCTGCATACAGCAGAGATGAGACACTGTGGTTCCRAAACCAGACACCCTCCTCTCCACGACTGCGCCTTAAGATCCTGTCCATAAACACTACAAACAGGATTAGAAACAAAGGAACAGCCCTGGTGCAGTCCAACCTGCACTGAGAATGAGCTTGACTTTGTGCCAAGAATGTGAACACTTGTCTTGCTTTGGTTCTACAGGGACTGGATCACTCTTAAAGAGCACCTATTATGGTACCATGAACAAGTTAGGATACATCTGTGAGCTGTACAAAACAAGTTCATTTGATTTAATTCACAAAATGCATCTCAGATGAGATTTCACCTGGTCAGTTCTGCCTATTCTGAGCTCCCTTCAGAATGAGATCTTTATGCAAATAAGTCACTGTTGGCAACACCCTCCCACCCTTATGTTTACATTAGTTCTGCCCTCCCAGCACAGTGTTTATGTTAGCACATTAGATGTGTGACATGTTCATGTCAAACAGCAACACTAAACACACAACACATCACTTACTGCCATCATCTGCAGATTTGTGAGGAATAATAGAGATAGAAGTTGCCTTCAGCTGGAAGTCCATGGGTAAATCCTGTGGGCTGTTAGTAGTTTCCAAAGGAGTCCATCATGAAATTATTTGCACAAACTACAACTTTCTTTGGCAATATTGCTAGAACATTGCCATCAAAAATGAAAATAAAATTAAGCCACGCATCTGTTTTCCATGACTGTTGTAAAAACAGCAGAACTAACGTGATCGTCCTGTGAAGTGGGCGAGCAAAATCCCATGACCCCCTTAGCTACTCCACAAGGGTGAAGGTCTGGTCCACAGTGACTAGGATGGAAGTCGCACTGCCCCTCTTGAATCTGAGGCTCTACGATCGATCAGAACTTCCTTTTCAACACCCTGGAGTGATGAAGGGTGAAGCTATTAAACGTATATACCGAGGGTAACAGTGTGACACTGTATCCAACAATAAAAACGTCCTTTTTAAWGGAAAATGTTTAATAACATATATCTAAACATATGTGAAAATGCTGTAAGGAAACAAATCGTTTGTGCTATTTTAAGAAGTTGGAAGTCATCATTATCAGAATAATATAAGTCAGCATTTTGTGTTCATAAAATCATTAAATGCAGTCTGCAATGCAAACCATGATAAAGCCTCCACCATATTTTTCTGTTGTAAATAATGTGGCTTTTTTTCCTGACACCAACCCACAAATGGCACATTATTCCTGCTAAGTCTGCAAGTCATCTTTCAGAAGACTCTGTTGACTGTTTTTTGAAAACATTTTTTTCATTGAGTGAAGAGAAGATAGATCAAAGTATTGTGTTCCATTTAAACAGATTTTTTCATATTATATATATATATATATATATATATATATATATATATAGTAAAATTAGTTCTGTGGTCTGTGTTGACAAAACTCTGATTCATCTCTCGGTTGAGATATTTTTATGCTTGAAAAGCTCATAAGTAGCAAAACAGCAAAAACAGTCAACACATAATCCTTGAAAATGTTTAAAAAAGCCATCAATGTCCGAACTGTCCGAACTTTGGAAGACTTTCAACAAGCCTGAAAAACTTTGAATCAAAACTACTTAAGTTTACAAGAATGTCTGGGTTCTTGGAACAAAATGAAAAGAGAAAGGGGGGCTCTGGACTGTTGCACAATAAGCCAGTCTTTCCTTTAAGCAATCACATTTATTCAGTCACATTTGAATTTGTTTTATTGTCATCCCAGAACTGTCTGTGTTGTTGGAATTTGACACTTCTTCTATAAATGGAACCATAGTTAAAAAGGCCATGTTGTTACCAGGGCAGCACTCTAAGCATTTCTGGTCACATTTTTTTTTCTAAATCAATCATTGAAACTTTGGGGATCCTTACACAGCACCAACTCTGTTCAGTGCCATGACTGACCAACCAAAACAATCAGACCGAATAAAACCTAAGTTAGGGAAATGACTTGTAGAGAATATTTTCTATAGATCAAACTATACAGAGATTCCTCCTAAAGTCAAATAATAAAATTTAGACCTTTGCTACTCTGCAAATGAATGTGCAACAGTTGATAGTTGAATAGAACAAACCTTCAAAAATCTAAMAACTGAAGCGAGGTTAGTAAACAACGTATACGTTTGGATTTTTATATGGTCCGTTTGTAGTGGAACAGTGGTGCTAATTGTGTTCCTGGTGTTCAGAACAAATGATGTTTTATACTAGATGAGCAGAACTAAAGATTAAATGTTAGTTGGCCTTAAGCAAACTTCAGTTTGCAGACTGCTGGCCAATCAACTAAAAGACTCCTTTGTGAGCTGAAGGTCATGACGTCAAATGGGCTCAATAAAGACATAAATTCATAGTTTAATCTGGAACAACTCAGCAATGGGAGGATGAGTCTTGATGTCCTCTACTTTTTAACGTGCATAACTAATGAGCCTTATTCCCAGGATAAATCAGGCAGGACTATAGACGGCTCTCAGATTTACACGCGCTAGCGTAGTGTTCACTCTCTAGACTAACAAGATAAAGGGATTTTAGTGTTTTCTTTTTAAATAGATGATTTAAATATTGTCACAAAATGCTGGAAATGCTTGAATACAGTCACTATCAGGTGAGTTTGAGTTTTTGTAAATTTGGTTACAAAAAGTAACAATAATTTTGTAAAATCTAAAAAAAATTTATGCATTTTGACTGTGCTTTAAATATATTAACACATTTAATTGCCTATAACGCTGACATTTTGCAGCTGTTGATGCAAACGTATGTCCTTCATTATTGAAGTTATGAAAATGATGGTTACATTTTTTGTGTAGTTGTAGAACATGAGATTCAACAAGTGCTGATGTTTTTATAAAGAGCAACTTGATTTTTTATTTAGATTTTTAAACTTTTATTGAAAAAAATATTTTCCATTTTAACTTGAAATTTAGTTATACAAATATATGTTACAAAGATCTTCAGTAACTTGGCTGGAAAAGCTTTATTATAAAACAGAAATGATGAGTGACTATATGGTTTCAGTCTGGTTCACTTATGATTTTTCTTCTTGAAGCTTTGAGCAGTACAATGTACTTAACACGTATTTTAATTTGTTGGTTTTGAAGTAATCATCTGTGATAAATCAGTATTTAAGGGTAACCACCGTTTCTACACATGTTCCAGTAGATTTGAATCTCTGTGATGTTGTTAAACTTTACGACGAGCAGAAAAAAAACCACCTCATGATACATTTCAAGCTTAGCCATGAAATGAAATTAGAGGTTTACATCAGGCTTGTGTACGCAGGTGCAGTCCCACCTGGAAAGTCCAACGAAGTACCACATCCAGCAGGCCCAGAGGCAGCAGGTGAGGCAGTTTCTGTCCTCCACTCTGGGTGGGAAAGCTGGTGGTCAGTGTCCAAACCAGCCTCCTGAGCACAGCATGCCACCCGGACCCAACGGGAGCGCGCCGAACAGTCCCATGGCCCTGCTCACCATCGGCTCCAACTGTGAGAAGGAGGTACATTCATTATTTCTCACTCACCTTCCACTATCAGCTGTCCTGACAGAGTCTAGAGCAGATTTTACTGTGTATCAAACAGATGGATGACGTCATTGATGATATTATAAGCTTGGAGTCAAGCTATAATGAAGATGTTCTTGGATTGATAGACCCAGCACTTCAAATCAACAGTCCGGTAATTCATCCCAGCATGATTTATACATGAGGTTTGAAACTGTTCTGTTGCAAACTTGCACCATAACAATATGTTTAATGCTCTAGCTCCCCATGTCTGGGAATTTACTGGATGTGTACAACAACCAAGGGCTTCCACTCCCAGGTCTCTCTATCGGTAACTCCTGTGCACCCAACATTAAAAGGGAATTCACAGGTAAATAAACACAATTAAAAAAACCCGCAAATGATTACTGCAAGGCAAATGTGAATATTGTGTGCAATTTGGAAGTGCACAAGATACTATTAAGTCGATGATTTGCCGAATAATTACTCCAGCTCCTGGCATGAAGCAAGTACTGGACAAGTCTGGATCCTGTGGTCAGTTTGAAAGCTATCAAAGACCAGAGGGCTTTCCAGTAGGTAAGCAAAMCAAGATGAAAATGTTTCCCATCAACTGTTTTAGAAACTGTTAGGTATTTTGTGTATGACTGAATCGCACACAATAAGAATCCACTGTAATTACAAAAACCTTACTGCAGGTCACAAATTTATTTACAGAGGTTTACAGTACATTTACTTCATTACAGTACTGAAGTATTTTTTGAGGATTTGTAATTTTACCAGTTATTTTTTAAATAGCTACTTTTACTTTTATTTTGTTACATTTTAAAGCTAAAATTGATACTTTTACTTATTTACTTTAAAATGTAACACCCAGTTACTCATTATAAAATTAAATATGTTGGAACTCATCATGAAAGCTGTTTCTGCACTCTAAAGAAGGAAGTGTTGAATTTACTCAACAGTCATGTCAGCTGGCTCCACTAAGCCTAGTTGAGTAAACTGAGCAAAGAATACACATATATTGCTCAATTTACTCGACCTGACTTAGTGGAACCAGTTTGGTTCAGTAAATTCAACAGTTTATTTCTTAGAGAGTGTGTAAAAGTACTTTCATTTTTCCAATTTTTGTGAACAGTTTTATGAGTTTTACTTGAGTATTTTTCTCATCAGATAAATTTATTTTTGTCAAAGTCATTTTCTGTTCATGTAATTTTACTTTTACTTAGTTTTTTCCCCAAGTACTTTATAAACCTCTGCTTATTTAGATTATTTATCACTTTTGTAATTAATGAAATTTTTTCAAACTTTTCAATACAATCTTCCTTTCCAGAGGCTGAAGTTCGTGCTCTTGCTAAAGAGCGACAGAAGAAAGACAATCACAACTTAAGTAAGAATCATAGAATTGTTGTTGGTCTTGTGTTCATGTGTGCTTGATTTAGACCCCAAAAAATAAAATAAATAAATAAAACATGTCCTGTAAAAAAGCATGCAAATAAAAAGTTCTAAAATCAAATTTGTTTGTTCATTTTTGACTAATTCTAGTTGAACGCAGACGGCGATTCAACATCAACGATCGCATAAAAGAGCTGGGCACCCTGATACCCAAGTCAAATGATCCGTGAGTATGCTTAGATGTTTAAGACTGAAGGAACTACTTTTTGGTTAAAGTGTAAAGATCAATTTATAACACTGATGGGAATTGCGGGATTTTACAGCTGAAACTAGAAAATTGCTAAACTGACAAAAGAATTAAACAGCACAAATTTTGCATTTTGGTTGAGATTTTTACATAAAAAGTAACCTTGCACCTTCCATGGTTGTTCCAAAAGGTTTTGGTCAAATTAAGCAGTCCAGTTTTATTCATAATTTAAAAAGCTATAAAAAGTAATGAGTAAACATAAAATGTAGAACTCTCCTTAAAAAAATCTTTATTAGAAGCTCCATTTCAATTCTGTCTTTATTCTTTTGACTGAACATGTCCAGATGTTTATCAYTCTGGTTTCTTAGCAATAAATTGTTAACTTTGTTTTTAACATAATGCTCTTCGTGTATGTCCTTAAAGTGCATGACTTATTCTCCCAGATGAGCCGTAAAGAATCCTGTGTTCTTGTGGTCAGCTGTCTCTAAACGCAGGCCTTTGTCTCCTGTTTTCCCCAGAGACATGCGCTGGAATAAGGGCACCATTCTGAAAGCCTCCGTGGACTACATCAGGAAACTCCAGCGGGAGCAAGAGAGAGCCAAAGAGCTGGAGTGCAGACAGAGGAAGCTGGAGCACACGAACCGCCATCTGATGCTTCGTATACAGGTGGGTCACTCCGGGCAGGTGAGAAGGTATCAGAGGTGGGGTTAAATCAGGGTTAGCACAGAGTACAGCTGGTAAAATAAGTTTTGAACACGTCAACATTTTTCCCATTAAATATATTACTAGAGGTCCTAATGACATGAAA